AAAAAAAAAAAAAAAAAAAGTTACCACGGTTGTTCAGTCTCCATTCCGCAAACATTTAGAGCTAAACCAATCAGTGTCAGATATTATCCAGGAGCTTGGGGTCCCTGTAATGGACCAGGCTCATACCTTTGCCCCTTATCACAGAGTAGAGTTGCGAAGGAGTAGGGAAAAATTCTCTACAGTGAAAGGAGCAAAAGCCATCAAGCGTGGGAGACCGTGTAAGCGACAGTGCGCAGGCGCCATACCTCGCTGTGGCTGAGCGCTTCCTGTTTCATTTCCGCTGACTCCAGTGGGCCTGCGCAGGGCCGGCACCGCGCCTGCGCCGCGCAGCCTAGCCCGGAAGCTGAGTGAGGAGCGCGAACTACCCCGAAGATGAAGTAAGGTTTCAGTTTGCCGCTGAGGAAGGGGGAGTGGGTCGCAGGGGGTGGCCCACTCGGGTTTGGGTGGTAGAGTGCCTACCCGGCGAGGGGAGGTAGCCGCTTGGAGACCAGAGCGTCTCCTTCCCTAATTTCGCTTCCCCTTACCTTGGGCAGGCCTATCTTACTTGTCCACTCCCCTCCCACCCCCGCCCCACAGCCCTTTGACTAAGGTGAAGCTGATCAACGAGCTGAATGAGCGAGAGGTCCAGCTTGGGGTGGCCGAGAAGGTATCCTGGCATTCAGAGTACAAGGACAGCGCCTGGATCTTTCTGGGTAAGGTCCACATCTTCCTCCAGCAGTGCTCCTTGGAGTCTCTCCTAGCCTGCTTCTGATCATTTCAGAGTTCCTGCCCATCATTTCTCCCCATATTCATCACGCAGTTTTGCATCGTGTTTGCCTGTGAATCCGTGTTTCCCTTATGATTTTTCGCCTGTTTTAGTTTGCTCTCCTTGCCAACCAGTGCTCTTGGGAGTTACTACTTGCCATTCACCATGCTAAGGGTCTTTCCACTTGGTTCCCCAGAGACTGTTGTCATCTCTCCCACACCCAGTCACCCCTTATACAGCGAAGGAAACCAAATGCAGTGAAGTTAATGGACTTCTCTCAGATCACACAACCAGAACTGTGGGATTCTAGAACTCATGGGCTTGGCTATTATCCTATATTACTACTAACTGCCTTTTCCCATCCCTCTCGCCTCAGATTTATCTTTCTTCTCCAGTTAGCTCCTACTTTCCGTTTATGGCCACATTACCATCTCTGTACTCAGTTTCACAACCAGTAGTTACTGCACCAGATATTGTCCTAAGCACTTTACATATCGTTATATTTAATTCTTATAAGTCCGGTGAGACAAATATATTAATATCCCCATTTTACAGAGAAGGAAAGAAACATTTGGAGAAATTATTTCCTATGAAATAATTAACAGTTGTCTTTATAATCTTTAGTTTATGTGTAGGTGGAGTTAATAATGATGTATACTGTTATGTTTGTGCTTTGTTCATAGAAGCTGGATGTGAGGACTGAATAATCAGATTTGTTTGGTTAGTGGTGACCCCAGCCCGTCCACTCAGAGTTAATCACTTTTTTTCTGTATTACTGGCACCTTATATGTACCTCTGTCATTGCATCAGACTGATTTCTGTGAGAGCAAGGCTTGTGGCATACCTTTTGTACCCCCAGTGCCTGGTCCAGTGCACAGTACATAGTAGACACTCGGTTAATATTTGTTGAACTGTAATGTGATTTTCTCTTCTAGGAGGGCTTCCTTATGAACTGACTGAAGGGGACGTCATCTGTGTCTTCTCACAGTAAGTTTTCTTTCATTTCCTGCCTCTTGGGTCAGCAGAATAGTTTGCTTCCATAATGCATTTTGTGGCACCAAAATATAGCCATTTTAATTCTAGGCTGAGTAGCATCCCTGCATGGGGAAGGCTGGAGCTGTTGCCCTAGTCTGAGCCAGTCACAGGATAGGGTGGTAGAATGTTCCCAGGTAGAAGATCCCAGAAGTTGGATAATTTGGGAGGGTGTCTTTAGGATTCTGGTCTATTTCTATTATTTTTTTTCCCAGCACCTTGTTTTGCCTGAGTCTAAACTAGAACAGACTGGAACTCCCAGGAAGGTATCATTTGGCTTATCTCTTTGGGCTCCTGAAAATGACGGATAGCCCCTGATCACAGGGCTCTCTGGACCTTCACCTGAGTGGCATTGTAGGATTAGGGTAAAGCACAAAGGAATTGGGGGTGGAGGGCAGAAGGTTTAGGATATAGTTTTGCTTTCTTCTAGATAAGTGTGAAGTTGAACAGTGACAAGATCTAGTCTCTTTACTCAGAGGCTAAAAAACCACACCCTGATGAGGAACAAGTGTGAATAGGAGACATATTACGGTTTATATCTAAAATGTCCCCCAAAGCCTCAGGCTCCCAGGTGGGGCTTCTGGACCATGGATGTAATAACTGGATCAGTCTGCTGATTGGTTAGTGTAGTTCTAGGTGTGACTGAATGGATTTACTGAAGATAGAAGACCAACCCTGGTGTGAGTGGCACCAAACAGTAGGCTTGCAGCCTGAATGGAATAAAAGGGCAAAAGGAGGCTTGCTGCTTCCTGCCTACAGCCTGTACGCCATAAACTGTGTCCTCTGCCATGCTGCCCTGCCTTGGAGGCAGCTAACTATGGACTGAGTCCTCTACAAACTGTGAGCTAAAGAAAACCCTTCCTCCGTTAACTTGTGGGTGTTGGGTATTTTGTCCCGACAATGAGAAAAACTGAAACACGTGTATATTGTATATTCTGCTATGAGATAACTGCAGCAGCACCTAGTGAGAGAGAATTTTGGCAGCTCACATGCATAGTGGCACCAGGTAGGAGAGGCGCAGGGCAGCTGATACACAGGCTCAGCGCTAAACAGCATGGCTAGACAGTCCACAGGGCCAGAGGGCCTTGGCAGCTCACAGGAGCAGAGAGGAGTAAAGTCTTTTTAAAAAAAGTTTTTACTGCGCCTGTCTTGCAAGCGCAAGGTCCTGAGTTCAATCCCCACTACCAAAAAAAAAACAACCCAAAAATGTTTTTAAAACCAGCATTTATTTTTAAATTAACACGTAGTAATTGTACATGTATGTGTATGGGGTAAACTTTGATACTTTGATAATACTTTGGTATTTGTAGCCTTCAGTGGCAGGCAGAGGACTAAGAGGAGTAGAACATTATATATAGTCAGAAGGCATAGCAAAATGAACAGGGCCAGCACACAGGCAGCATACCCTGGCAGAGAGCTTGCCTTGGCAGGATAGTTGGGTCATCCTACAGGATAGAGGGCCCTGGTGAAGTGGTTGGGCAACTTATGGGGCAGCAGACCATGAGAAAGGAATTGGCAACATCTATGACAAGAAGGCCATGGCAAAGGGACTGGGCAGCCCACACAGGCTACTTTCTCCAATTTCTGGATGCTAGAAAGTTTACAGCAGGTGAAACCTGTAGTTTCATCCCTTTATGGTACCTCTGCTGGATCCAGCCTTCCATCTTGCAGCTGTTTTTGTTTCACTTGCATTGAGTGGTGATTAGCTTGTTTGTGTGTGTATGTTAATTCTGTATTCTGTCTACACACAGTGAAGATTACCTTTGCTGCTGGTAACAATGGCTTTCAAAAGTGCTTAAAATTATAAAGGCAATGTGTTTATACATGTCATTAAGAACATTTGAGCACAGCAAGAGAAACCACCAGCAGTGTGAAGAGACAGCCCACAATGTGGGAAAATATTTTCACCAGCGGTCCCTCAGACAAAGGTCTACTATCTAGAAACTATAAAGAACTTAAAAAGATCAGACCTCCCAAATTTAAAGACCCAATCCAAAAATGGGCATCTGAAATGAACAGACATTTCTCACACAAAGAAGTAGACATGGCAAATAAACATGAAAAAATGTTCAACATCACTGGTCGTTCGAGAGATGCAAATGAAAACAACGCTGAGATTCCACCTCACCCCAGAAAGAATGGCTGCTATCATGAAATCAACCAATAACAAATGCCGGCCGCCTGTGGGGAAAGAGGAACCCTGCTCCACTGCTGGTGGGAGTGTAGACTGGTGCAAGCACTGTGGAAATCAGTATGGAGATACCTCAAAGAACTAGGACTGGAAGTCCCATTTGACCCCTCTATTCCCCTGCTGGGTATCTTCCCCAAAGAATTAAAAGAATCATACCACAGTGATATATGTGCGCCCATGTTCACGGCAGCACAGTTTTTAATAGCTAAAACTTGGAAACAGCCCAAATGCCCATCAACTAGAAACTGGATAAAGAAAATGTGGTTTTTTAATAAAATGGAGTACTACTCAGCCATCAAAAATGAGAAATTAGAGACATTTATTGCTAAATGGATGCCCATTGAGACAATACTCTTAAGTGAAATAAACAAGACACACGTGTAAATACCGAATAGTTTCTCTGGTGTGAGAAACTGAAAGTGTAATTAAGGACTAAAATGTATAATAGATATGTGAAATAGGAAGAAAAGGGGCAAAGGGGAGGGGAAGTGGGAGGGGTAGGGGAAAGGAAAGAGGGTAATGGAATTAATATGAGAAAATTAAAAAATGGAAACCAAAGTCTTTGGAAATAGGGAGGGATGGAGGGGTTGAAGGGAGGGTAGGGAAAGGGGGAAAAAAAGAACCAAGAGGGTATGTAAAGGTGCATATCTCCAGTGATGAATGTCATTATGTTGTACAACTAAAATGTACCAATAAAAGGGTATACAAAAAAAAACACTTGAGGACTAGAGGGGAGAAAGAGAAAGAACAAAGGGTAATACAGAATGGAAAAGGAAAGGAAAAACTGTCAAATTTTGGCCTATTTTTATCTTTTTAAAAATTAATGTTGGGCATTATTTCTAATGGTTTGCTATTACAAGTTATATTTCCAAGTAGACTATCGCATATAAATTTTTGTATACATCCCGATGGTTTCCTTAGTGAAGGAGGGCTAAGGATGAGTAAGCATTTTTAAGATGTTTTAAATGTTAAATGTTCCCAAATAGTTCTCTGAAAAGGTTGTACCAGTTTCCACTCTCACGGGAATGCCCATTTTTCCTGAATTTTCATCAATGATTAAAACATATTTGCCAAATGACTTCATTTTACTTTGCCTTTATGTCATCATCAGTGAGATTGAACATTTTTCATAGCTCCTTATTATTTCTTCATAAATTGTCTACTCATATCCTTTGCCAGTTTTTTGTGTTTCTTTTTCTTTTCCTTTTTTTTTTTTGGTACCGGGGATCGAACTTGAGACCTTGTGCTTGCCGGGCAGGCAGCAGCACCACTGAGTTAAATCTTCGGCCCCATGTTTCTTTTTCTTGTTGATTTTATGAGTCCTTCAGGTGTGAAGGATATTAGCTCTTTGTTATAATACTTTCTCATGCATTTATATACCTGTGGGCTTATTTTTAAAAATTTTGATGTTATAATACATTACCATAATTATTTTTTTTTGATGCACAAATTATCCCAATTTGATCATTAGGAGTCCCTTCAATCCTGCTCTTGTACTCTTTTTCTTAATTTTTATTTTGAAATAATTTCAGGCTTAAAATAGAAAAGTTATGGAACAGTATAAAGAATATCCCTGTCCCCTTCACTCACATTCCCAAGGTGTTAGCATTTTACCATATTTACTTTGCTATTATCTCTCCATATATAGATGATGATTTTTTTTTCTGAACTATATGAGAATGAGTGGCAGGCCCAATGCCCATTTATTCCTAAATTCTTCAATGTCGATTTCCCCCAAAACAAGGACATTGTCTTATTTAACCTTAGTACAGTGAGCAAATTCAGGAAATAAGATGATATTGTACAACACTGACCCAATATTATTATCTAATCTGTAGACTTTTCAGCTTTATCAGGTGTCCTGGCAATTTCCTTTATAGCAAAAGAAAAAAATGACTTTCTGGTCCTTTATCTGTGATAAAAATTATAAATATTTTCTTTTAGTTTGTCTTTTATCTTTTGACTTTGCTTATTGGGATTTTTTTGCTGAGCAAAGTTGTAAAAAATTTTATTCATTTGTATATTTTATTTTAGTATACAGTAAAATTGACCTTTTGAGGGAAGTATACAGCCCTATGAGTTGTAATTCCTGTATAGATTTGTATACTTACCACAATTAGAATGAACAATAGTTCTATCACCCCCAAACTCCCTATGCTTGCTCTTTATAGTCCCCCCCCAGTATTTTATTTGTATGTGGTCTTATTCATTAGTTTTTCATTGCTTCTGGATTTTGAGTCATGATTAGAAGATATTTCTTCCCCTCTATCCATTTGTGTTGTACTTGTATGGCTTCAGTTTTGTACATTGAAATCTCTATTCTGTTGTTCATTGTGAGATTTGGATCCAGTTTTATACATTTTTGTTTTGTTTTTTGTTTTGATTTTTTGAGACCGTGTCTCTGTTATGTAGTTCAGGCTGTCCTTGAACTTACTATGTAGCTCAGGGTGGCCTTGAAGTTGCAGAGATCCTCCTTCAGCCTCCTCAGTGCTGGGATAGAAGTGTGTACCACCATACCTGGTTTTTACTTTTCCAAACAGCTATCCAGTTGTCCTAACTCCAAACCACCTTTATCATACACTAAATTTTTTCCTATTTACAGTACTTCAGTTATGCAGCATTCTGTTCTGTTAGTCTGTTATTTTATTTGTCAGTGCCACATTATTTACAGAAGCTTTTCAGTATATTTAATACTGTATATGGTAGAGTTATACTCATTGTTCTTTTTACATTTTCCCAGGTATTCCTACAAGTTCATTTTTTTTTCTACAAAAATTTAGAATCAGTTTACCCAGCTCCAGAGGAAAAAACAAACTTGTATTTTTATTGGGATTATATTAAATTTATGTATTAACTTGTGGGAAGATCTTGCTGTCTTTATGATATTGAGTTATCCTGTTCAAGAACAAGTGATGTCTTTATATTTGTTCAAATTTATGTTTGTGTCTCTCGGGACTTTTTAAAACATTTTCTTTATATAGATTTTGTACATTGCTTGTTAAGTGTATTTCTAAATATTTATCTTTTTTGTTGCTATTGTGAATGGGATTTCCTTTCTATTATATCTTCTGCTTATTTTTTGTATGCAAGAGGGTGATTGATTTTTAACTGTATCTTTTATGAAATTTTTAGTTTGCTTTTATTATTGTTTTTAAAACAAAATTCCTGGGTGTGGTGGCACACACACTCCCAGCACTCTGGGAGGCTGAGGCTGGAAGGATGGCAAGTGCAAGCCCAGCCTGGGTAACCTAGTGACTTAGTAAGACCCTGTCTCAAAATGAAAAAAAGGGCTGGGGATGTAGCTCATTGCAAAGCCCAGGGTTCAGTTCTCAATACCACACAAAAAAGTTTCAAGTTCTAGTTAGTAGGATGTTTTTTGTTTCAAATGTTATTTCCAGCTTTCTAACATTATGATTTGAGAACATAGTTTCTTCTACGTTTGGGGTTTGAGATTTGCTTTGAGACTTAATGTATAGTCAGTTTTAAAATGTTTTGTGAATTCTTGAAAAGAAATTATCATCTTTTTGTAGGATTCAAAATATCAACATATTTACTAATAGGACATTAATATTTGGTAATAAAATTATTTATAGAATTTTATATTAATTTCTGTGGTTTTATTTCTGTGGTTTTATTTCTGAGTGTTAAATTACCTCATAACTCTGTTTCTCTTTGTATTTCTAATAGTATTTTTAATTAAAAATTTTGTTTCTGAACTATAATGAAGTTCCATGAATTATGCCCTTGTTATGTATTAGGACCATTTTCAATGTAAAATAACCCTCTTAGTCCCACTTAATGTTTTAAATTTTGCCTTGAATGTACCCCTCCATCCCCCCAAATGGAATTGAATCCAGGGCCTTTGTACTGAGCTATATCCCCAGATCCCCAGTTCTTTTTTTTGGTACTGGGAGTTGAACTCGGGTCCTTGCGCTTGCTCAGCAGGCGGCAAAACCACTGAGCTAAATCCCCTGCCCACCCCAGTTCTTTCGTTAAAAAATTTAATTTTTAAATTTTAAGACAGGATCTTGCTAAATTGCCAAGGCTGGGCTCAAACTTGTGATCCTCCTGCCTCAGGCTTGAAGTTATTTTTGTTTTTAATATTGCTGCCCATGTTTAAACTGAATGCTCCTGCTTTATTCTTGTTTAACTTTTTATTTCAACCTTTCTATGTCATCTCGTTCTGGAGGAGTCTTCTGTATAGACTGTAGTATTTGAATTTTTATCATCCAATCTGAAAGGTTTTGCATTTTAAATCAATAGTGTCTTTATTTTTTATAAAATAGGTATGGGGAGGTTGTTAATATTAATCTTGTGCGAGACAAGAAGACCGGGAAATCCAAAGGATTCTGTTTCCTCTGCTATGAAGACCAGAGGAGCACAATTCTGGCTGTTGACAATTTTAATGGAATTAAGGTAAATGTGTTTTTTAAGCAGGATTTTGCTGGATTTTGCCTGTGTGTAGGGGTTAGGTTTAATTTTTTACCTGGGCCTCCCAGGTTCAGGGACAATATTGGTCAGCTGGGTGTGTTGTGAGGACTGCAGAAGTATGGAGATACATTGGCTGGGAAATGATTCCAGGAAATCTTTTGGCTCAAGGCCCTGCCTAAGTTTGTTCTTTTTCCCCATCTGTTAGTAAATCATCTTCCCAGAATCATTCCGTCCCTTTTCCCCTACCTGCCATGCAGGCCTCCATTTTTTACTTTTCCCTTCTCCTCCACCCTCATCTCTAGTGTACTAGGGAATGAAGAGACTAGCAAATATTGCTCTAGGCCAGGGGACCTAGGGATTCATGGTGGCTTTTTGACTTATGACATAGCTGTGCATGTCTATTGTATGACTCCAGTGACCTAGCACATTGGGCCCTGGAAATTCTCTAATTAAAATCTAATGACAAATTCTACAAAAGTAAGTCATCCTGAAATTTTAAGAGAGCCAACAGTCAGAGTCAAAGAAAAAAGATTTTTAAAAAGTTTCAAAATGAGAAATAGAATAAGGTGACAGAAGTTTCTTAAGCTTAAAGGTAAGAATAAAAAATCTGTTCTTGCACTGGGAAAATAAAAGCCAAAAATTTCAGCTTTCAGATGGCTTTGCTTCTGGAGTAAGTCTGTATCTACTTGCAAATAAAATGTGTTTAAGTGAGGGGTTAATTTTGTTGTTGTTTACCTGGAGAATTGTAGTTTACAGCACAAGAATCAGTATGAACTGAGTGTACCAGTATGGTGGGGTTAGAGTAAGGTGTGAGGGGTTTAGAAAAAAGAATGTAACCCTTTTTCAACCCCCCACCCCAACTATTGGTCTGACTTTGCCTCTTCCTAATTACTGTCTTGAGAAAGCAGCTGTAACTAAGGCAGATTTCAGAATTTCTGTCTAGATGCCAGACTTTTCCAGGGAACATTTCACTGTAAATTAATGTTACAGGTTGAAGGTAATTAATTGTTTGTGCTTCAAAATTCTCATAGCCTTTCCTGATGCTTGTGTTTTGGAGCAGTCCTTCCCAGATTTTTTCACTTCATGGCACACACAGAGTATGATGATATTTGCATGGTCCCACTTGGCTGCCTTGAGTGCTGAGTGTATTAATAGCTAGATATGTGTGTTCTGACACACCAGGTGAGCAGATCTGCTTTAATGGTTTCCACAGAAACAATTAGCATGAAGATAATGGATATGGTTCTCCATAGCTTAGGTTCAAATAGTTTGATGTGAGAGCTCTTTGCTGAAGGATTGCCCATCTTGCTTAGATCAAAGGGAGAACTATCCGCGTGGATCATGTGTCTAACTATCGGGCTCCTAAGGAGTCAGATGAAATGGATGATGTGACCAGACAGCTCCAGGAGAAGGGCTGTGGGGCTAACACCCCCCCTCCGAGTTCATCTGAAGGCTCTGAAGATGACAGACCTACAAAAAGTCACAGAAAAGGTAAAATGTTAAGACTCAAGAGGAGATTCCAGGCAGTCTTGGTTTCTACTCTTCCTAGTATTTATGGATAGTTGATAGTGAACTCCTGAGTGTGAAAGGGGAAGGTGTGGGGGTCCTTATTTTAAATGGGAAAGGGAGAATGTCAGAGAAGACGAGTAGTATGGGCAGAAATGTGTCCCCTCAAATTGATATGTTGAAGTTCTAACACTCAATACCTTAGAATATGACTGTATTTAGAGATAAGATCTTTAGAGAAGTAATTCAGGGTGGGGATTGCCTTGTGCAGCGACTTAACATACCAGAGGTGACAGACACTGAAGTTGGCCTCTCAGAGGCACTTTCCTGGCCATAAAGCCTGTGACCATGTCATGCTGCTGCCAGGGCTGTTTTCTTTATGTACATTTTCCATCTGCTAGCATGAGAACATTCTGGAACTGTATACCTTGGTTTGACGTGATATACTCAGAGAAGAAAGACACCTTTTAGAGAGTCTTTTTGTTGTTTCCTTTTATTATTGATCGTCCCCCTTTATGTCTCCAGATAAAAAAGAAAAAAAGAAAAAAAAGAAAGACAAAGAGAAGACTGACCAGGAGGTACAGGCAGAGCAGCCATCTTCTTCTTCACCTCCCAGAAGCAAGATGGTAAAGGAAAAGGATGACCCTGGTCCGAAGAAGCACAGCAGCAAGAAATTGGAGAGGGTTCAGAAGCCCGAGTCCAGAGAGGGGAGGAAGCACTACCCAGGTTCCCCTGAGGTCAGGTCCTCATGCCGTGGTGGAGGAGAGGACCCAGAGAAGGATCCAAAGGAGAAACTCAAGTATGAGCACAAGCCCTCAAGCAGGAAGGAAGTGAGAGAAGACAAGAACAAGGATCGAGACAGAGGGCGCAGCTCAGATACACATTCTAGCCGGCACAGTGGGCATTCTGAAGGGCGGAGTCATAGAAGTAGAAGTAGGAGCCGAGATAAATCCTATAGGCATAAAAAGGCCCGTCACTCCCAGGAGTGGGAGTCCTTTAATCCTAGTGACCACAGGCGTCACTGAAATCTTCTCTGTCTGCCCAGTTGATTTAAAAATAAACTGTGTTTTAAAAATGTAATGAAATTTGCGCCAGGGATTTAGCTCAGTGGCACCGGGCCTGCCTTGCAAGCACAAGGTCCTGAGTTTGATCCCCAGTACTGAAAAAAAAAAAAGTAATGAAATTCAATTCTGCTGTTAATATTTCTGTATATAAAATCTCTGGGAATGAGTTCTTTTAATCTCTTGCATAGATTCATTGAGAGGGCTGTAGTTTCAACAGCCAGGTATCCTGGATTTTTTAGCATGAGCCCTGGGAATATACCTGTAACTTTAGAGTATGTGTCCTAAATTTTGGTTCATAAATACGGCCCTTGAACCCATAGACCCCAATTTGAGATGAAATTGCAGGAAAGGGAAAAATCCAGGTAACTCTACAATTCTAGTCTTTGTGTTAAGTGTTTAGAACCGAACACTGTAGGACTTTTCTAGTTGTCAAAGAGTCACAAGATTCAGACCATTTCATGTGGATACAATAAGATCTTAAGAACGGCCAGTTCCCAGCCCTCTGGAAAACAGTTTTTAATTTTTTTTTTTTCATTTTTTGGTTGATGCTTTGTTTTTGTTTTTTGTTTATATATTTGCATTTTTTCTTTTGGTTTGTTTTTATTGATATGAAATTAAAAGTAACCAGGGCTGGGGATTTAGCTCAGTGGCACTGCTCCTGCTTCATAAGTGCAAGGTCCTGAGTTCAATTCCTGGCACCAAAAAAATAAAAATAAAAATAAAAGTAACCATTTTGAACAGTTCAGTGGCATTTGTTACATCAACAGTGTTGTAAAATCACCACTTCTATCTAGTTCCAAAACATTTCCATCATTCCTACCCTGTGCCCATTAAAGCAATAACTCCCCATTCTACCAATCTGTTTTCTGTTCCTATGGATTTACTTTAGGTATTTAAGTGAAATCCTATGATAGTAATCTCTTGTGCCTAGTTTCTTTCACTTAGTAGAATGTTTTCAGGGTTCAGCTACATTGTAGCATGTGTCAGTACTTTATTCCTTTTTGTGAGTGCATAACATCCCCACTGTACAGATAGACAGTGGTGCCTTGGTTTTACGAACTTAATTTGTTTTATGATTTGGGGAAAATGGCTGCATTTGTGTTTGTGTGGGGAAGGTGGTTGTGGTTGTGCTTGTCACTCCATGTGGAGTTTGTGAACAGAAGCAAAATTTTGCGGTACGCTTTTGTTTGCGAACCATATTGTGAACAGAAGCATCAGTGAACTGAGGTATTACTGTACTGCATTTTGTTGATAGATGGACATTTGGGTTGTTTACACCTTTTGGCTAGTCAGCTTCCTTTTTGTGTACCAGACATACCGGGCCTTCTGAGCTTAGTCCACTTTTCAAATAGCCACTCTTGCTGGGAAGGAAATACTTGTCAGCTCCATTGCCTCTCTATGGCTTGTTTAGCAGTTCTTCCTCGTTGTGACTCTCAGCTTTCTTATCAGTCAGACCTTGTGGTTTGTTATGGTGTTTGTGGCCTCCTGGTGTCTGGTGGTTAAGCACCTCTACCTGGTTTTTGTTACTCTGGGGCTCCCTTAGCCCCTGTGGATGTTGATGGACCTCTTCTGTGAGGGTCTCCCTTACTTTCCTCTCTGGGCTGAAGAGAGGCCCTCCTTAGGAGTGCTGGTGCTCCTTTCACAGTGTGTTCCTGCTGGCCTCTGTGCACGAATTGTTCTCTTTTGGTGCATCTATTCCAGCATGTCCACTTGCCTTGACCTTGTTTTTTCTTGTGGTACCAGGGATTGAACTCAGGACCTTGCACTTGTGAGGCAGGCGCGGTACCACTGAGCTAAATCCCTGGCCCTGCCTTGACTTTTTTATTTCTTCCTCTAATATTTTTTGGGGCAGCTCAGGCCTTGTGTTAGTCACCTGTTGCTGGGATAAAATAACCTGATGACCTGAAATTTAGAGGGGAGGTTTATTTTGGCCCATGGTTTCAGAGGTTTCAGTCCATGGTAAATTGGCATCAAGGCAGAAACAGCATGGTGGCAAAAACTGTTCACCTCATGGTGGCCAGAAGCAGAGAACAAGAGAGCCAGAGAAAGGAGGGGGCTGGGTACAGGTTATATCCTTCAAAAGCATGTCCCCAATGACCCACCTCCTCCAACCAGACTCCCCCTCCTAACAACACATTCAGTCATGATGAATCCACTGATGAATATAACACCTCCACGATCCAGTCACCTTCTAAAAGCCCCACCTCTGAACACATGAACCTTTGGGAGACATTTTAGATCCAAATCATAACAGGCCTCTACTTTGTTCAGCATTAACCTTTACTTTCACCAGGCCTCTGAGAGCCTACTTAGTAGAGCCTATTCATCCTTGTAGTCCTTGCCAGAGGGTTAAATCCTGTACCCTGAGAGAGTGATTCCGAGTCTGAAATCATGCTTTTTTTGGCTCTTTTGCTATAACATCCTTGAAATCCAAACCCAGTGCTTCCTTGGCTCCCATGCTATCTGATTCTAGCAGCTCTTTGGTATATGTGCTTTATTAGGCCTAGTACTTCCCTGGCCAGATTATGTTGGGATTTGGGCCTTCCTATCTTTTAATTATCAGGAGAGGCTGCAGATGGCTCCTTTGAGGGGATTATTGGTTGCCTTGTAGGAAACAGCTTCTGTGGATCTTCTGGTGCAGGGGAAGTGCCAGCTCCTACCAGGGAACAGTGGAGCAGCTTCAGGGCTGGAACTCTTAGGGCTGTCTGGCTAGGTGTTCCAACCCCATGTTTCTGGGTGCCAGGTCTTTCCAACCACAGGAAGTTTTGTAGTCCTGACGAGCAGAGCAGACCTGTTAGGAAATATTGAGCATTTAAATCTCCCTGGAGTTCCGCACCTCTCACAGCTTCTCTAAGACAAAGGGCATCTTTATAAGCCCCACAGAAGCCCCCTGGCTCTTTCACTCAGTCTTCAGGTGCTTATTAACTGTCAGTCATTTCTCAGTATGCTGCTTAACTGTCATTTTTCAGTACCCTGCTTTGGGGCATCAGTAGCACTTCACACTGTTAAGTTAGCCAGCTTTATCCACTCTGTAGGCCTCTTACAGATTTTGTGCATGTCTGAGTCAGTGCAGCTGCAAGGCCCTTCTCCCAGTTTATCTCCACAGAAGTCCTTAGCAGTTGGTCTGCCACCCTGTGCCTGGGGCTGTTTGTGCCCCACATCCCCCGTGTGAGGGTGTCCCGAACCCCTTCTCATCATGGTTTATATTCCTGGACCACCCACCACAGACACCATTTGTGCTAGCTGACTCCTTTAAGAAGCAAATGTGGACATGGGATTAGACATACAAGTGGCTGATTAGTGGAAAAAAAGCCAGATGCAAATCTAAACCCGGAGAAGGGTAAAGAGAAGGCAGAAAGGATGAGTAGGAAGAGAATTGTGCAATCCAGTTCTAAGACTGGTTCAGCAAAGCAAAAGTATCTGTTGGGAGAGGCAGCACATGCTGCGCCCCGAGCGCCCCCTCCTGTTCTTTGTGGGTGTCTTAAACTGCAAGGCTCATCTGTTTCCAAATACTCAGCTGTTGCTGCAACTGGGTAGGGCCAAGTGACCACAGTGTGACTACTGTTTAGCTGTTCACTCCCCAGGGTGAAGGCACTGGTTTGTTTGCCTATTGCCGGAGAAGTTATAAGCCCTTGACCTCAGGTTCCTCAGCTGCAATGCAACCTTCACACGTGTAACATTCATCTGAACCTGTTACATTGCTCTGTGGGACTTGGGGGGAGGGAAGCTAAAGAAACTATGTGGATGCCCATATTTGCTGTGCTAAATAAAATAAACTGACTTATAACCCATGAAGTCTGTCAACTTTCTATATTTGTGAAGTGAATGGCATGGTTACTCTGCCATCCTTTCTGAGGTTTGGAATCTTCCCTGGCCCAAAGTTGCCTGTTAAGGGAGTCCCATGTTTTGCAGAAATGGCCTGCCTTAGTGACTGCCACATTGAGATATGCCCATGGGAAGTCTGGGCTTGGTGAAGAGGCAGTGATGGATGATGGGTTTCAGCCTTGTTAGATTTTAGCTGCAGCTCAGCAGGATTGGATTGCAGAGTTCAACCGCTGTGGCCAGCAATTATGCTCTCTATAGTCAGAGATCTTAGAGACCCAGGTAGAATCTGCACTAAGACCAGCCCGAGACAACCCACTGGCCTTTGGCTTTTGTTAATCTTTGGGAACAGTGAATGTTTCCTTGTTTGTTTCATAGATTGACTTCACACAGGGCAGTTTGAGTTCATTGGCAGACAATTTCCAGTGACCTCAAAGCTAAACAGCCACATTGAATGAAATACAAAGAATGCTTTTTAGTTCTTAGCATACCTGTTTTATTGATATGGCTTAATTAATGCCTGAGTCTCTCTGTCTCTGTTCTGCTTCCTCTAACCTACTGGGGCACTACCTAGTAAGTACCTGTCTTGGCAGTTTATGGACTTGTTGACTTTAAAATTGGAAATCGTCCTTATCTGGCACAGACCATCCCTTCTGTAAACATTTTGAAGCTCTTTGAAAAGAATAACCTGATTATCATCTAAATGACATTTTAGTGAAGTGTAAAGTGCTCTGCATTGTGCTGTTTGACCAAAGAGTAAATCTCATTGCTTCCTGGTGTCTTATTTTACCTGAAAATGTAAACTTAGAAGACATAATTTTGGGTGTGATTATTTGCATTGTGAAGGATTTAACCTATACTTCTTCCTTTACTAAATAAGTGACTCCTGATTTCTGCAAGTGCTACTGGGAACTGCGTTGTAAAATAGAATGATAAAAACAGGCTGCATTTCTAAATTAAGCATGACCAGCAGTATGTCATCCGAGATCTACTGATCCCTAGATGAATCATTAAATATACTGAAATTATATACCAGGTTTTGTAAAGGGGCAAAACCTTATGACACATGTTAATTATTTTACTATAAGGCAATTGTCACACAGATGTAGAGCTGTTGTGTATTCACTCTCAAGCCAATATGCTCTCTATAATGAATATCAGTAAAAATTTGAGTACTTTTTGCCAGCTTAGAATTTAGAAAGGTATTTTTGGGATGATTGAAGATGTTCTACCCTCTTTAAAGAAGCTATTTTAAAGAAGTGTTATGTGAATGCTTTCTTTTCTCTTGTGCCTCATGAGCAGCTGAGGCATTTAATATTCATTCCATTTCAGATTTGGATTATAATTTGCTTAA